TCCTTCATAAATGTTACCTACCAATCTGCCTTCTCTGCCAAACAGTAATAGAAAAGCGTCGATAAAATCTCGGGATTTTTCTTCCCATTTGCTAATCATATCCATACGTTTTTCACCAATGTTCTCCATGACTCTTTTACCTTTATCTTTTAAATCATCAAATTTATTTTGTAAGCGGAATTTCTTTTCCTACGATCACATATCATATTACGTGAAGTATTAATATTATATATGTTTATAAAAGTTGTTTAATATACTTACACTAAGAAAAGAAACATTAAGTTCTTTGGCACTGTAGCCTCGCGCAAGATTTCTCCTTACATAAATATCATAGTCTTTAACAATTCTTGCTACAATATCTGATGTTGATACCCCTTCTGTTCTTTGTGTAGCTACAAACATACCCTTAGCTTTCAGAGCTGCATACACATCTGTACTATCATCTGTCATGTAGGGTATATCATCATGAGCAACAAAATCAATCTAAAAAGTTTAATGTTTATTATTAGAGTGTAGTGACTGTAAACATTCCATAAATATATTTTCCAAATAATAGTGCAAGTTAATTTTACCTTATGTTTTGTAAGAAATTCATCATTTAATTCCCAAGGAGCATCTCTTACCACTTCATCTACATAGCGACAATGCCTCACTGCGTCATATCTTTCAATATCTGTCATAACTGTTCTTCCTTTTTTACTATGTGTTAATTCATCATTACAAACTGCAATAATGTAAAAATTATATATTTCATAGAAGACAATAAAAATTACCTTTACTAATATTGTATATAGTTTGTCATATGCATGGGAACTGAAATTTATTTCTTTACCTCCCACAATAAGATACACATTAGGAAAAATATTTTTTGCTTGCAAAAGTTGACGTGCATGCCCCTGATGAAATAGATCATAAATACCATCTGCATATACTCTGATTCTCCTTGGAGCTAAATTATTATTTAGATTATTATTATTATAGATTGTACTCAACATTTTTTATTCACTACTAATTACATAAATGTTAAACTAATTTTTTTTCAAACTAACCTTTGCCACTTTTTGCCATTTTTAATGTAATACGAACATTATAATCACATGCATTCCTTTCAGCAAGTGCTTCTGGATCATCACTAAAGGGAGCTTCCTTACAAATTGACTGCAATAATATAATAAAACATACAATATTAGATATGCACAATAATATAAATACTAAATACAATTAAGAAGAGTTAATAGAAATAAATTTTTATTTAAGAATATCCTTATGCATTATACTTCTAAAAAATTCATTACAATATATAGCACTAATTTATTTATCAATATTTTATCAACTTATCACATTTTAAATATAATATAAAAAAAATATTTACACTTTTTTTT